GATCTAAGCAAACTTGAGGAGAAACAGAAAGTTAGAACAGATTAAGTAGAGAAATTGAATTACTAGTTGGAAGTTTTTCTATAAAAAAGGTCTGGGCCCTGATGGTTTTACTGGTGAATCCTGTCAGACATTTGAAGAAGAGACAATGACAAACACTAACGAGCTTTTTCAGAAAAAGAGGAGACACATGTTTTCTGATTCTATGAGGCTAGAGACACTGGAAAATAGCACGTGAATACAAACAAAAACTCCTAAAGCATCAGCAAGTTGAACCTAGCAACATCCAGAAAGGATGAAGCTGGATTTATCCAAGGGGTGCAAGGTTGGTTTAGCATTTGAAAATTAATGCTACACACCACTAGTAAACGACGAAGACCAAATGGTTGTGTGAATACAAAAAAAAATCATTTGGCAAAATCCAATACTCATTCATGGTGAAACTCACAGCAAACTATGAAATTTATCAACCAGATAAGAGGCATCTGTGTAAAGAAATGTCACATTTAACAGTGGCCACCCACAGATGCACATAGGTTTAACAGTGACAGCCTACAGGTGCACGTAGGTTTGAGGGGAAAAGGCAAAAATGACCCCCCATTTCCTGTTCTATTTAATACTGTGCCAGAAGCTATAGACAGCCAATTAAGTAAGAAAAATAAGCTAAAGGCGTGTTGGTTGTCTGCAAGTGAGATGTACGGACGGTGTGTAGTTCCAGAGGACCCCCGCTTAAGACTGGAGCGGGGCAGCAGCGGGTACCCTGGCGGTGGCTGGGGGTTAAAGCTAAGTGTGTTAGTTGGAAGTGTGTTGAGAGAAGCCTTTTCCCTGCCAGCCGCTTTGGCTTTTCCCCACTAGTCACCTGGGCTCTGCCGCGTTGTAGTCCCCAAATAACACACAAGACGCTGTATTAATTATGAAGCTGTTGGCCTTGCTTGTTTCTTACTGGCTAGCTCAGACGTAAGTTTTTACCCCATAATTGTTAATATAAGTATTTCTCTTACTGGAGAAAAGGTCCGGACTTCTTACCCCTATAGCAGCTACATCGTGACTCCCTGTGTTTCTCCTTCCCAGAGTTCTGCTCGACTCCTAGTCCCACATATCTTACTTCCCTATTGGCCAACAGTGCTTTATTCAACAACCAATAAGAGACAGATTTACAGAATGGCATCTCCCATCAGAAGTGGAAGAAGAAGTAGGTGGCATTTTAAAGTAGGGAGAACAGAAAAGCAAAGACTTGGGGGAAACAGCAATTCTTTTCCTGAGAAGTAGGAAAATTGGAGGTACACAGAGGCTACAGTGAGCACCAGGGGCATATAATCTCTCATTGAGACTGATGTGAGAGATTTATGAGTTCAAGGCCAACCTAACACAGTTTGAGGATGTGCAGGGGCCAGGATAAGGGGTGTAGTAGGTTATATAGGAGTTTTGGACAAGTGATCATTTGCTACAGGAGTGAAATGCACATGTAATTTTGGGGGGTGATAAAACTGTGTCTTGTAACACCATGTTGTGTTGTCTTTATAAAACTCTCATTGACATACTGCTTTCAGTATGTTAGTACCTTCTGAAGCTTAGGTAAAGTCAATCCTGTCAACAGTGGCTCTCAAACTTTATTTTCATCTTAGGCACCTGGAAATCTACAAACAGAAAGACTAGAATTTCTGACTTAGTCGATCTGAGAGAATTCAAAACTCAGCCAAGGTTCCTGGGAGAAGCAGGTTCTGCTGCTCAGGGAGCCTGGTTTAAGAATTGCTGTTTTTACCTCACCCTTTGAGAGAGGTACCGTTACCAATGACTGGGAGCGAGATGGCTCAGTTGGTAAGAAATAGAATGCATAAGATACTGGGTCTGGGTCCTCAGGACCCATGTCCAAAACCAAGCATCATAAGCATGTCTGTGATCTCAGTACCGAGGCCTCCTGACAGCTATTCTAGCAGAATGGGTGAATGGACTCCAGGTTCAGTAAGAGACGCTGTCTCAAAATACAAGGTGGAGAGTGACTGAGTCTCTTAATGTGTTACACACACACACACACACACACACACACACACACACACGAACACATGAATGCACCCACATGAAAACATGCACACAAATGCACACAGGAATTAATTCACATCTGGGATAAGAGAGTTTGGAGGTGTTAACTGATGCCAGAGAGTGAGGAAGGAATCTTTGAGGAACTCTTGAGGCCATTCCGATGAAAAATGTTTCTGTGAACTGGGATGAAGCCAGGACTTACAAATGCATTAGAAAATTTAGAAATGTATTAATGTACAAAATGACTAGTTGAAAATGTAAGAGAAAAAAATCAATAATCACAACTGGAAATACTTTAGGTGGATGATCAATATTTGTTGCTTTAAGTATACTTCCAACTTTTTTTGTAATTGATGAAAACGGTACTGTCTGGATAGGGAACCTTGTTATGCTCATTGCTTTTGAGGGAGTGTCAAGAACAGGACAATAGTTCTTCATGAATCTGCTTGGTTTTTCTTGATATAATTCATCGTACCTCCCTAGTTTTCGTCTAATAAACAGCTTCTTCCTTAAATAGTTGCCACTCTGTTGTTTTTGAGATCTGAATCAGAGACTGTAACGAAAGCCTTCGAGCTCCATCCTGTCATTTTGTACTGTGTATCTAATTAAAGCTTCCTGCAAGTCCATGAAAAGACCTAACATTAAAAAAGCAGTGTATATCAAAGGCAGCCTTGGGGGAGATCCGAGAAGGGGTTTCTTCATTAAACTAAGCAAGTTTGATTAAAAGCCAAGTAAGGCAATAATACCTTAATTTGTATTTAAATATTTTTAACATATTGCTCAAGCATAATCATATCATGTTAACTAACATACTGAAGTTGTGGGACTGAAAAATGGGTCACCCTCTTGTCAGCAGTGCCGCAGCCTCCCGGGAATCCCTGAAACGGAGTAAATGGCCTCCCCATGTGACAGTGTTGTGTGTGCATCTCAGGAAGAGAACTGAAGCTGATTTCATTTAAATGTATTTCTAATTTTGACTTACTTCAATATATTGTTTTGGTCAGCATCTGTGTTACACAGCAGCAACATAAACACCTTATTTTAAAGGACTCACGTGTTTCAGCCACTGTCCTGTGCTTACGGATGTCCCTTTGGGGTACAGACTTGAAGGCAAAGGCCACTGGACTTCCCTTGGGAGACCATTAGAGTGATACTTTTACTCCGTTGTTGGCCACAGTGTCCCCTGACTAGTGACAGCTCCCAGAGGGGAAAGGTCATGGTATTTCAGCAAGAGAATGAGTTGTGCAAGCCCAAGTTAGGAGTTAGGAACACTTGCTCAATGCGCGTCTGAAACAGAATCTCCCTGTCAGGGCCTCTGGGACAGCTCAGTTTGTAGAGGTGCCTGCTGCCATGATTGGTGGCTTGACTTTCATCCCAGGGACCCACATGGTGGAGGGACACAGGGACAGAGCTATCTCTCCTACAATTTGTCCTCAGGCTTCTACATGGGTGCGATGATGACACACACACACACACACACACACACACACACACACACACACACACACGGAAAAAAAGGAAATAAGAATGAAAAAGAAAGAATTTCCATGTCAAAACGGCACTGTCCTCTCACGATCTTTTTTTTTGGGGGGGGGTTTTTTTTTGGTTTTTCGAGACAGGGTTTCTGTGTGGCTTTGGAGGCTGTCCTAGAACTGGCTCTGGTAGACCAGGCTGGCCTTGAACTCACAGAGATCCGACTGCCTCTGCCTCCCAAGTGCTGGGATTAAAGGCGTGCGCCACCTACACCCAGCACTCTCAAGATCTTAAGTCAAAGTGATTGTAGAGGTGGGGCCTGAAACAGCAGGGGCCAAGCTTGAGGTTCTCCTGCGTGTACTCCACCACCCAGAGCTAAACATGTCCCAATTTCAGCAGATCTTGTTATTATCCAGAGAGACCACCTCCCCATCCATTCTGCTTCCCAGCCATCCTCAGGGATGCAAAGAGGATGATGTAGTCGTAAGCACTCGAGTAAGTAAAGGAAAAAGACGTTTGTCATTGTCTGACAACAGAGAGATTGTTAAAAGCCATGCGGATTTCTTTGTCCAGTCAGTTGAGGCAGCTCATTTTGCTCTTGTCTTCCTTAGGGGTTGAGGGAACACAGGGGGAACAGCATGGGGGAGAATTCTGGCACCTGGAGTCTCAGCATTCCTCTTCAGAAACCCCAGAGGACTAGTCTCCAGAAGTGACAGCTGGGAGCCCCCTCCCTCTTGTCCTGCCACCAGTAAGGTCCCTTCTTGAGTCACCCCGGAGCAGAACCACGAACAGCCACGTTAACGCCTGATATGTACTTCTCCATGCTGTCTGGCCTGGCCAGTGTCTTCTGTTGACTCTGGGGGACAAGCCTGCATTTAGGTGCTGGGCTTTGCTCCTTTCTGTTAAGTAGTAACAAAATCAACAGAATTCTTCAATTGGATTCCCAGAGAGAAGAAACCGCAAAGAAAAAAAATAAAGTGTGTGTGTGTGTGTGTGTGTGTGTGTGTGTGTCCGTCCGTGCATGTGTGTACACGCATGCTTGTGCAAATGTGCGCATATGTATATGCATGTACATATGTATATTCGTTTTGTTGTCTCTCATTGCCTAAAGCTGGACGGAAGAAGGAGTGAACCTTCAGGGATAAAGCGCGCGTGCTCCCTGCCCTCTACCCCAAGACTGCAGCGCCTGCCCTCAGATGTCCCCCACCCCAGAGAGCTCCAGCTGCAGCTGCTAAGTCCTGTCGCTGTCCATCGTCCTGGTGCTTCCTCCTGGGCAATCCTTTACTCATCGCCAGCGTCCCCAGCCCTCCGGAGTGGGCTGTGCTCGGGCCCGGGGCCAGGACACCCGCTCCAGCAGTCCCCGCGCTGGCCTGCAGGTGCGCCTGGCCTGCCCCGCCCCGGCCCCGGCCCCGGCCGGCCCTAGGCTCCGCCCCCGCCCCAGGCCCCACCCCGTCGCCTTCGTCACGGTGACGTAAGTCCCGCGCACGCGCAGTGCGGCCGCACCCCCGGCCGCTCGCTCGGTATTATGATTAGCGCTGGGTGCGGGGTTCCGGCGGTCGGGAGGGAGTTGTCGACGCCGCGGCCGCTGTGGACCGGTGCCCGGCTGCCGGCTGAGGTAGGGCGAGTGCGGCGCGCCGGGCGGGAGCGTGGGCCGGGCCAGCGCTTCCCCTCCGCGGCCGCCTCAGAGGGGCTGGGCGGGCGCCGCCGCGGGCGGAAAGTAAGTTGCGCGCTCGGCCCGGGGCGCCCTGTGCGGAGGACGCGGCCCGCGGCGCCACCCCGGACCCTCCGAGCTCGCCGGGCCTGCGGGCCTCGCGCGGTCCGGCCCTGCCCTTGGCGGCGGCCGCGGGATTGCGGCAGCACGGGAGTCGCCGCGGGCGCGCCGCGCCGCGTCGCGCCGAGCCCGCAGCGGGCCCCGGGCGGCACGGGCTCCGCGGGCCTCAGTTTCCCCGTGGGCCTCGGGTCCGGCTGCTGCGCTGGGCGTCCGCGAGCCGGCCTCACGGCAGCGCGGAGACGCGGGCGTCTGTGGAGAAGGGCGCCGGGCTGCGGAAGGGGCAGCAGTGCGGCTCCCCCGGGGACGGCTAGGATTTTTTTTTTTTTTTTTCCAGGGCTGGGAGACGCCTGTTCTTCTCTCCGTTAAGACATCGCCTGTTGATTTCTTTCCGAAGCATTTAAAATAAAGACAGGCAGGCACCTTTGCCGCCTCTGGCTTGGGCTCGGGAAGCAGGAAAGTGGCAACCCCTGCCCGCCGTGGCTTCCTCGAGCCCTGTCCTTAAACGGTGGGATCGGGCTGCGACCCAGGAGCTTTGCTGTGAGTTTCGGGTCAGGTGCGCATCGGGAGGAGAATTTAGCCCCGGGGTTCCCAGGACTGTGGTAGTCAAAGGACGGGGTGGGGGGTGGGGGCGAGCCTCTCGGTCCGGGTTCTTAGTTCCCCTCCCATTTACACGAGCTGATTCTCCCAGGTCTCGGGAGCCTTGGTGAAGCCGCCTCAGAGCTTGAAGCGTCCTGTCAGGTTTAAGGGGAAGTGAGCGATGGACCCTACAGGTGCAAAGCTCCTTCCTGCGGAGTTTCCCCCAGATTCCCGATGGACGCCCCAAGGCTCAGTTTGGGTTCTCTGTAGGGATTGAGGACACCCTGCCCCAGATCGGTCCTTAAACTTATCACCGTATGTGTCAGCGTAGTCAGAAGCCCAGGTTGTCAAGGCTTATGTAATCAGCTTGTTAATTTCTAATCCTGTTACAGTGCTTTCCAGATTTATAAAAGCCATTCCCCTTCAGAAAAAAAATCTGTCTTCAACGTCTGCTTAAATGTGTCTCTTGGAATTGGGTTCTTGGAGAGGAATGTTCTGTACGTGTGGTGATTAGAACGTTCTGATTAGACAAGGCTTTTTTTTTTTTTTTGAAAGAACACAGATACATAGCAACTTTTCTATCCGGCCATCGGTGTAAACTTGCCCCCATTTTACAGAACTAGGAATGAAAGAGATTGCATGACATTCCCAAGGTCACGTATCGAAACTGGGTGAAAAGTCAAGAGCACAGCACGGACATTGCACTCTCCCGTCTTCAAGGCTTTGAGATCAGAAACACTCTGTGCCGCTTCCGATCCTTAAAGTTTTTTGCTCGACCAGTCATTATTTTACTTTACGCACAAAATCTTCTCTTGCCCTGGTAGTAAGATTTTTATGCTATTCTGGGTAAATTTTAATGAGTGATTGCAGTATGACACAGTAGCTTAAACAAACTTCCCAATGCTCCAGTGCTTCCACCCTTAATACAGTTTCTCATGTTGTGGTGACCTCCAACCATAGCATTACTGTTTTTTTTTTTTTTTTTTTTTTTTTTGAGACAGGGTTTCTCTGTATTGTTTTGGAAGCTGTCCTGGAACTAGCTCTGTAGACCAGGCTGGCCTTGAATTCACAGAGATCCACCTGCCTCTGCCTCCCGAGGGCTGGGATTAAAGGCGTGGGCCACCGATGACGGGCTAGCATTACTTTTGTTGCTACTTCATAACTGTAATTTTCTACTGTTAGGGGTTGTAATGTAAATTCCGTGTTTTCCAGTGGTCTTAGGTGATCCCAAAGGGTCATGACCCACAGGTTGAGAGCTGAAGGTTTAGAGTATCTAAGAACTTGGAAGTTGTGCTGGTTTTTATTTTTTTACTTTTATAGACCAGACATACAGATTAGATCTTTATTTGGTGGTTATGTGACTTAACCACACAATCCTAAAAGGAAGCCTTTCTAAATGTCTTTCAATTGAAATTGAAGGACATTTATGTTGTTTTTACTGGACGCATCCACACCAGTGAGGTAGCTTCGCCCATGTCGAAAGTGAAACTAAGAAAATGATTATTTTGGGGAGATGTTGAGTGGTTCTGGTTCTAAGCGCTGGTATTAAATAAGACATGATTTCTTTCCTATTGCACCTTTCTGAGCATTGGCTCATTACCCTGTCTAGGCTGGAGAAGGACAAACAGCCTGAATTTTCTGACTTAAACACATAGGTGAGAAATACTGAAGGCCTAATTTAACAGCATCTCAGCTACAAGATAGAGTTGTTAGCTGAATTCTTTTTGTAAGACAATAATTAGTACTAGCACTTTGGAGTCAGAGGGGCCAAAGTTCAAGGCCAGTCTAGGCAGCACAATTAGTGTGGCATCTCAAGAACAAAAGTGTGTGTGTGATAACACACATATGTAATTCCAGCATTGGGAGGCTGAGCTAGGAGGATCACGAGTTTGAGGCTAGCAAGTGCAACCATAGTGAGACCTTGTCTCAGAATACAAAAAAAACAAAAACAAAAAACCCTTCTGTTGGGAATGCAGGTACCCTACTTTGTGCAGGCAGATCTTAGGTCTACTTGGGTAGAAGGGCTGAGTAGATTTGGGAGGATAAACCTAACCTTTCATCATGTATTCCTGGGCCTTTATCTGTTTGGGAGGCAGTTTCTGCACCTAAGTGCTTAGGAGTTATTCTGTAACACCAAGGCAAACCAACAGGATTGCTTTTGACCGGAGTGGAGACAGTTGCACAGAACATGAGGCAGTAGCAGTAGGGGTGCTTCTCCCAGGCTGTGCTGAACCGGTCTCAAAGGCTAGGGTGACAGGAGGTGAGGTCAACTGTGAGGGAACTCAGACGGAGCGTGTGGGAGGGAGTCGAGGCAGTCACGGCCCAACTGCATTTGTAAAGGAAGGGGGCATGGCACCAGCTTTGGGGTGTTTGGGAAGAGTCACACTGTCAAGTCTGGTGCCTTGGAGTGAGCACCGGAAGTGTGGTCTGCTTGGGATGGGCTGGATCTGAACTGTGTTACTTCACAGAGCCATTCCTCACCTGCCTTTCCGCACATCTGTGGGTGGTGGCCCTGCTCCCCTTGGGGAGGGAGCCATTCCTTGCCACTGGCAGGAGAGAGCCTAGTCTCCCTGAACACTCATCTCTCCATTGTCACTTCAAGGGCCTCCTGAAATTGGCCTTGGCCCCTCCAGAATTTGGCCAGTGCTCAGCAAGGCTCTTCTGTGCAAATCAGGCTTCTGTCCCTGTCTTAGGCTGACACCCCCAGTCTGCTGCCCGTAGCAGCTCAGTCCAGGGCAACTCAGTGAACTCAGTGACAGGACATGGTCTGTGGGATATGGTGTGCTAAGTGTCCTAGGTGAAAAGTAAGAGGGTCCATCCATACATCTGTGTTCACCTTTCAATTGCAGTTTTGCCTGCACCATTTATTATTGGGTGTGTAGTTAGGATTGTAGAAACATTGACTACACATGGTAACCGGTCAAATCACAGCCTCAGTGGGCTGGATTTTCTCAGCTGTTGACATGTGGTGACTTTCTCAGGCAACTCCTTGACAACTGACTGCTTTGGTCTTTATATCCCCTGCTGGGAGTCAAGCTTGATACAGTACGTGCACTCAAGAAGTGTCTTGGTCAATTACAATGACCTTTATAAGCCTATTAATGGAAAACACGGCCTGCTTAAATATAGCTAGACTGGATTTTACTTGCTTTTCAGTCATCCAGTTTTGGAGCTTGAAGGAAGTCTTCACTCTGCCAGTGTATGTAGGCATGTCCTCCATCCAGTGTATGTAGATGAGTCCTCCATCCAGTGTATGTAGGCGTGTCCTCCATCCAGCGTATGTAGATGTGTCCTCTATCCAGTGTATGTAGATGTGTCCTCTATCCAGTGTATGTAGGCGTGTCCTCCATCCAGTGTATGTAGATGTGTCCTCCATCTAATGTATGTAGATGTGTCCTCCATCCAGTGTATGTAGATGTGTCCTCCATCCAGCGTATGTAGATGTGTCCTCCATCCAGCGTATGTAGATGTGTCCTCCATCCAGCGTATGTAGGTGTGTCCTCCATCCAGTGTATGTAGGCGTGTCCTCCATCCAGCACCATCTCTCACTCTCCTCATCCCACATGACCCTTGCCTTGCCCCTGGGCCTCTGTGGCGAGCCTCTTCATTTCATCCTCACCATCCCTCTCCAGATTCTGGCAGCTCTCGGCTTTAAGCAATGGGTAGTTATTTACCTGCAGACATTTCTGGTAGTCTCTTACTGTCTCCCAGCTCCGTTTTGTCCTTCCCATTGGATCTTCATTTTACACCTGGACTCACTTCTGAAGCCACCATCCGATTGCTGCTCCTTTACCCTAGGCTCCTTTGGCAGCTCGCGTCTGTTTTCATTTGTTCATGCAATAAGATGTGCCAGTGTGTTTGGGTAGACACTATACCTGACAGTTACCATGGGTACAGATTCTATACCTGGGTTACAGAACTGAATAGAACAGACACAACTTGTACCTAGTCAGTGAGATGCAGATTAGTGACTGCATAGTCATACACACAGTTGAGATGATAATGGTGTAGGACTTTGTGCTGTGAGTGTGTTTGGGGAGCTGGTGTGTGACAGGAGGTGGGGACAGCACTGGGAATGATCAGGATGGTAGCCTTTTAGCTGGTGGTAGAGCACGAATTAGGGCCAGCCAGAGCAGAGACAAAGATAATTGGTTCTGGGCCCTTTGGTTGGGTCTGTGTTCCACCTGCGATCCTGTCCCTCCACAGTAAGCTTTCTCAGGTATCTCTCCTGAAAGCTTCTTTCCCACATCATGATTTCAATTTGTAGCTCAATTACAGACAGAGATGTCTCTGGGATGCCTTCTGTGAAACCCCCAAGGCATATTTAAGGGGAAGAGCTCCTCTGTATTTTTATTTTTATTATTATATATTTTTTATGTCTGTCCCCCGCAAGAGGTTGTAAACAGCCTGAGGCAGAGATCCTCCCTGTTGGTGTCATGGAGAGTTGTTTAGGGGGCAGTTTGTTGTGGCTACTAGGGAATATAACAGTGGGTTAGGGAACTAGCTTTACTAGGGAATATAACAATGGGTTAGGGAACTAGGGAATATAACAGTGGGTTAGGGAGCTAGTTTTACTAGGGAATATAACAGCGGGTTAGGGAACTAGCTTTACTAGGGAATATAACAGCGGGTTAGGGAACTAGGGAATATAACAGTGGGTTAGGGAACTAGCTTTACTAGGGAATATAACAGTGGGTTAGGGAACTAGCTTTACAGTCCTCCTTAGCCCATGAGTCTCTTGGGAGGAAGGCAGAGAAGCTGGAAGGGATCTTTGAGTGGCTTTGATTCCTCTATCAGCCTGTTACTGTGTCACTCTGTAGAACTGTCCAGGGTGGTGACTTAGCTGTATAGACAGTGTTGAGGGAACTTGCATGGCCTCTCAGGCCCTAGGCCTTAGGTGCCATTACCACCGCGCTACCATTTGACTCTGCTACCCCTAAAGTGAACCTGTGGAGATGGTGGGAAGGAAGAGCTTAC